CCTGGCTACGTTTCTTTTCTCGGTCAATGCACTGGCCCTGCGAACGCTTCAATTGATTGATATGTGGGGTTTAACGTTCCAAAACCACCATATGATTATGAGAGACGCCGTAGTGGAGGGCTCCGAAAATTTCGACCACCTGGGGTTCTTTAACGTGCACCCAAATCTGAGCACACGGGCCTACACCATTTCCGCCTCCATTGGAAATGCAGCCGCCGCCGCCGGGATTCGAACCCGCGACCTGCGGGTCAGCAGCCGTGTACCTTACCCACTAGACGACTGCGGCGGGGTGCGAACGCTTCAAGCACGTACCGTTATTTTGCACGGCCTCCATGAACGGCGAACCGTATTTGTCCTCAATATATACAGCAGACCGCAAACCACGAACCAATCTTTCCGAGACATTAAAAGGAAAGCGAAACTGTTTACATCTCAACAGATCCCGTTACTCATAGTAGGGGATGTGACATCCCCGCAAACACGGACTGAACCCCGCTCCTTTCAAGATGTGTACGCTCGTTTCTAAAACCCACGCATGAAAAAAAAAGGAAAAGAAAACCTTCGGTGTATAATGAAGGAATGATGATAACAAAAGGAAACAGCAAGCATCATCGCAGAGTAAGGCACCACGAGATCGGCGCTCGAGCTCCTCCATCTTCCTCGTCCTGTCGCTATCTCCAATCTCCGACCTGCCCGTTTGGTTCGCCCAACAAACCTCTTTACAGGTGTAACGAATGGGCATTCGGGAGTAGAGTACCGGAAGGATTATTTCTACTATTCTCGCGGGCTGCCCCCGCGCAAACACGAGGACCGGGCGGCGCCTTGTCGTATACAGACAGTGTACGGTGGAGATAATCCGCGCGCACCCTTCAGATTTGTGGCATGGGGGAGCAGCAGAGCACCTTTTGTTGATTCGGGCAATGCGACCTTTGCCGCAGCGCCTGTGCCGGGTCCGGTCTGACTTCTGTCAGCCTCCGTGGCTCCAGGACTCATTACTACGTTCTGCGCGGATAGCCACACCCGGCAGTGAATGACGAAGAAGCTGCGGCTACGGAGAATTTCGCGGGAGACACCGAGCTGCATGGAAACGTTGAGACTTGGTCTGGACATCGGTTCACTAAGTATCGGAAGCATCGGGACCATTGTTCGCCCGTAATTAAAGTGTCTTCGGACGGCTCGCCCATCTCTCTCCCTGAGGCTTGAGTTTGTACATTTTTACTTGCTCAGCTTTGTTTGGGAGAGGGTTTTCTACTGGTGTAGGCCACGGGGCGGCCGCCGAAGATGATACACTCGGACTGAGAAGAAAAGATATGCCGCGTGGAGTGGCGACTGGTTTGGTGTCCCGGTAGGGCGGAGTGGGGTCCTACAAGAAGGGACTACGAGACGATACGAGGAGGTCAGAGATACAATGCGAAGAGAGTCGGAGAGATATACGATGCGATGAGCTCGAGATGGTAGAGAGGCAAGGACGTTACGATGAGATATGAAAGTTAGGGATAGGAGGCGAGTGAGTGGAGCGTTACGTAAGAGGGCTAAAATGGAAATCACTGAGAGGCACGACGTAGGCGACGATGACGAAGACGATGAAGACGCTGACGAATTGGACAATGACCCCAGGAAAAAGCCCTGAGCCCCGACTCGAACAACCAGCTCTGAGGCCCCCGTCAACAAGGACATTCTGTAAGACGACCTTCACCTCCCGTGATTGATTTGTGGGGTTTAACGTCCCAAAACCACCATTTGATTATGAGAGACGCCGTAGTGGAGGGCTCCGAAAATTTTGACCACCTGCGGTTCTTTAACGTGCACCCAAATCTGAGTACACGGGCCGACAACATTTCCGCCTCCATCGGAAATGCAGCCGCCGCAGCCGGGAATCAAACCCACGACCTGCGGGTCAGCAGCCGAGTACCTTAGCCACTAGGCCACCGCGGCGGGACGACCTTCATCTCCCTTACTTAAACGAGCTTTGCGGGTGGGGATGCGGCATATTGAGACATTGCGCGGTTTTATTCATTGAAAACTTCATCATTTGTGTCGTCGTGTGTTTATTCTGTATTATTCTGTATTCTGTCACCGTTACTCCGCTTATTTTCCCTTTTCGCGTGCCGCGAGTATTTGCTGATGTGTTACAATTTCGTGTAACAGAGATGTCGTTCACGGGCAATGTGTGTGTACACCATTTGCACTTAGTATTCAATTAAATGCGTCCATGATTAAGAAAAGATCGTGACGTCTCTTACTTCCCGGCCCCAGCACGAATCCCTGTATGTGGAAAGTGATTGAGACACGTAACCAAGAGGGAACGGGATAAAAAGGGGTTGAGTGGTCTTCCCTCTCTTTGGTAATCGGTGGCGTAGCGGGGGACGTCTCAGGGATTTCCACGCCCACCATCCCGCGTGGGGATATCACAAAGAGGATCAAAAAGGCAGGAAGCTATATCACGACATCGCCCAGAAGCACCTCACACTTCTTACGGAATCGGCCTATCCGACTCGCATTGGTAATAGAAGAAAACCTCGGCAGTGGCTACTACCTTCACATCTCCATAGAATAGAGAAAGCATGAAAGACACCTCAAAGCCGTGAAACCAGCGGACTGAAATTTCTTCAGAAAAGCGGCAAACTTTCCATTCCAAAACACTTCCAGCTTTTACTTGAATGGGCGACCGCGATACAACGGCTGAAAACAGAATTGACCTGAACAATCCAAACGACACCAGAAACTCCGGCAGTCGATTCACACTTATACGCCATTCGTGGCACGACGACAACTCACTAAGCGTATGAACGGTCAATGCGCAGTTAAATGCGCGAAGGAGGATAAATGTAACGTGCGCGACAAAGTGAACTGTTGTAGAACTTGTGATACAATGATAAGCTCGCGATACGACGGTGACGGGCCATCGATTCCAATCCAGCCCTTATGAAAATGAATTTTGAGAGTCTAATGTGCAGCTAATGCACACCTAATGAGTCACTAGACTGACATTAGACCTGCAAAGCCTAATGTCTTTTAGCATCAGGTGTGCAATAGAGACTCAGATGACAACATGCACCTGGATACCTGATGATCAAGGCACGCAGACTTTCCAGTGCGTGTCCTAATGTCAAAGCACATCACAATGAAAAAAAATTTCGTTAATCTTTTAGAGCCAACAAAAACTCAATTTCTTACTACTAAATGTAATAATCGTGGAAATTCTAGATCCCAAAACCACTATATAATAATGAAGAACGCCGTAGCGGAGTGCTTCAGAACTTTCGATGATCTGTGATTTCTTAACGTGCACCTAAGTCTAATTCAATTACTTGCTTATCTCGACATTCACGTACATGTTGTCTTTCGGAAGTATAAAACACTAAACAGTTTGTATTCCCATAGATTTTCAATCATGTTTCAGTAAATATAACATTGACATGAAGAGAATGTGTAAATCATTACACAACATTAATAATAACAACAACAACAACAACAACAACAACAACAACAACAACAACAATAATAATAATAATAATAATAATAATAATAATAATAATAATAATAATAATAATAATAATCCAGGGTCTCTTATGCATTCACGTAAGACAACTCGAAGGCGATAGCCATCTCTTTCTTTTTTCCAATAAGTCGATGTGTTCATCCTGACTGATTGATGATTGATTGATTTGTGGGGTTTAACGTCCCAAAACCACCATATGAATATGACAGACGCCGTAGTGGAGGGCTCCGGAAATTTGGAGCACCTGGTGTTCTTTAACATGCACCCAAATCTGAGCACGCGGGCCTACAACATTTCCGCCTCCATCGAAAATGCAGCCGCCGCAGCCGGGATTCGATCCCGCGACCTGCGGGTTAGCAGCCGAGTACCTTAAGCACTAGACCACCGCGACTTGGCACAGTGGACACCGAGGGCAACACAGGAGATAAACTCATCGTATTGTTGTAGTGAGCATTTGAAAGCGTATTTAAATATCAGTCACACTTTTACAACAGAAATACGGCTGGGAGTGGCAGCTGCCAAATGTGTGCCCCTCTGCCCCCTTCCCGCCACTGGTAGGTGGTGGAGAGCGAAGGCGTGATGGAGAGGAAGAGGGAAGTTTTAATGAGCATTCATGCCTGTCACCCCGCCACTGTTTTGCTGTAGCAACGCTAGCTGTGACGCAGAGACAGCGGCGAAGGTAAAAAAAAAAACCAAAAAAAAACAAGGGAGGGTAAGGAAAGGAATTCTCGTTGATCTCGGGGAGGGGGACGGGAGCAGGCAAACAGTCATTTTGCTCTATGTATGCCACGCCGAAAAAAAAATTTGCCCGAAAGGCGTGGGGAGGGGGGAGGGCAGAAAGGGGTAACGGACTTGGTGTGACAGCCCCTGGCTACGCCACTGCGCCAAGACGTAAAGGAACGGGAACCCGGTCAGATACCTTTCTTCTCTGTAGAGCAGGAATGCATGCCACTCATTCTTTTCTGCACACGAACAAAGCCACAGCTGCAAAAGCATTGCCTCTGAGATCTGTACTTATTGGCCTTGTGTTGCAGAGACTCAGTAATGACCATCGCTTTTGATATGAGTTGGGAAACCTTGTTTATTATGCAAAACAAAATACATACAACTGCAAAACTACATATATTGCAAACTAATAATTCAGAAATTTTCATTTGGCTTGAAAAGTTATGAATACACTTGATTTTTATTGTAAATTCTTTGTATAGTGATAAGTTAGTGCTGCCACCTGCACACTTATTTTTGTTGGGCCTGTAAATCAGCAGTTGCAACAGGCCTCGTTGTACTGCAGGCTCATTACCAGCTTCACGCAAGAACATGTGCTGAAAGTGCGTGGTTACATAATTGCCGTGTTGATAATTATTGCGTGAATTCTATACATATCCTCCTTTAAAATTCGTCTACGGGATAATTTCCGCGTGTTGGGAAGTTCTGCTGCTTTGATCGAGTGGCGGACGATGACTCGCCGTACGTGTCCTCTCCAAGCAGCCACATCGGACGCGCGCCTTGTGCTCGCTGTGTAAAGTGATTTCTTCCTCCATTTATCGATTACTCGTGTTGTTCGCGTGGTTCAATGTCGAGTGTACTTCCGAGGACAATCCACGACCCCTGCTGTGACAACAAGTGACTGATGTTATGCGAGAGCGTGAGCTTTTTGACGGGCGACTGAAGAGTGCTCAGCCAATGTCAAAACTTCGGTAAGTTGAAGTCGCTGAACTACGTAACTGGGTTACTTCATTGTGTGACAAATGGTATGCAGGAAGTGGTGGCCCGGACGGCTTGTTGGCACAGCGAGGCTGAAAAAGCAGAGTCCCGATAGGCAGGTATGTTTTGAGGTGTCTTATTTTATATCACCGTAAAAAACAGTCGCTGTGTGCGTTGATTGCATGTTTTAAAGATTCGCCTTTCGCTACGTCATCTATCCTTCGGTCATGCAAGCCTCATGTCGTGATGTTATTCCTTGGCTGTTTACTGCACGAGATTATCCTTTGGTTCCTTGTCGCCCTGTAAGAGTGTCTGCTTTTAAACATACTGGTGTCGCGAGAGCAGTTCACGTTCACCCAACTCGATAGTTTGTGCGTTTTTACGCGCAAAACAATCACTCGACTGGGCGCGTAGATAGAAAAACGCACAGCCCTGTCAAGCACACACGAAGGATGTTTTCGTGGCTGCGCTTCGAATCCTTGTGCCAAAAATCCATGTAATTTCTTTGTGGTTAGAATTTCCCCCTAGCTGCCTCATAAATATTTTAAGAGAGCTAACTTGAAGAATACGTAATTTAGCAATATACACTATGTGCTGAAACTAAGAGTACACTCCTATTACTGCATTGAAGATATGTCGATATCGAGTGTTAGTAGAAGAATATATGAATTCAATTGAGTTAATTAAGCTAATACATGACACCCATTGTTGCAATATTTGTGGAAACTTTTTTTCACTATATAAATCTTTGTTTTCTCCTTGAGGCATACCAGGTGCTCCATCACAAATAACTTAAACTGTGCTCATAAACTATAATTGTTGCTTGGTTGTGTGGTGCTTCAAGTTGTATGTTTGTGCTTTCTTTTTTACGTCAGTGTTGTACTGATATCGCATACTTGCTTGTCTGACGAGGATGTAAACCTATGTGTAAAATTCAGGAATTTAGTATTTATTTATTTTGTTTTGTGAGGCAGCAAATTTGAAACAAAAAGATGTTATTCATATGTTCCCAGATGTTGACAGAAAGTTTCAGAATAATAATATTTTTGCGAAGGGCTTATGTAATAAAAGAACTCCTAGAGATAGCTTGTGTGAACAAAAGTCAAACTACATAGGAATTTGCTTACGAGTACCAACAGTTTGTTTCCTGAATAGCTTAAATTTATGATGTAATACAATATGTATGGCTCACACTTATATACTCCATGGGCGCATAAACCATGAACTCTTTGCAAATATTGTTTTCATCATTTATATCACCCATACACATATGCATGCTCTACGTAGTGTTGTTACGTAGTATTGTGGATGCAAAACATTCAGTGGCACTCTGTCAATTGTCAGCAAGAAGGGGCTAGTCCAATATTGCCTGTTCTGGTTGTGCCATGATCCCTTTATTCAAGGATATACCCTTTCATGTATCAGTATACACTTTGCTAAGACATGTGTGGTACTCGCTATCTGTGTGGGATATAACCTTTGTTGTGTGCGAAAGTAATCTTTTGTGGTATCTTTTATGTATGTATCAGCAATGGCAGCTGTTCATGGTCCTGGCACAGAGGACAGGTTGCAGTGCACGATTGGAGCAGTCTTCCTGCAAGCCCTAACAAGCCTTATTAAGCGATAGGCATTTCTTTTTATTACCACAGAGTGATAGTTCGGACACATAGCACCTATTGAGGTATAGCATACACTGTCTTTTAGCTTAGGTGTGGGAAGCCTATGTCCTGCACTTCAGTGCAGTATGCCTTGAACATGGAACATGCATCATTTGGTTTAAACCCTTGAACATGGAATGTTGTCGGAACCAATGTTGCAACACTTGGAGGCATCTTGATAATAGGAACGGCTGTTCCTTGTCACTTCTGTCTTGAGCAAGGCAAAAGTTCTTGTTAAAAAATTGCACAAGGGAAAACATTCAGCATTGTTTGTTAAACATTAGGTAATATTTAGCTCAAGATAGCACAAGAATGAGACCAGTGCTTTTTAAACAAAATGCGTTATTGCAATGGAAGCACAAAAATTTATGCTGTGAGGCTCACTTTGTATTTTTTAGTGCGTCAGTTGCAATTAACCGTTTTATATAAAGTTAGGGCACAGCGGCATTCTCTCTCATGGTCTTTGTGTTACATTGCGGTAAATATCACACAAGTTAGAAAGTTGGCTGCAGCGACATTCCCTCTTATTGGATTTGTTGTTCTTTTCAAGTTTCCTCCATCAACATCTATTCTGTTTGGACTGCCATGAAACTGTGTGCAATGAAATCTTACTTATAATAATAATAATAATAATAATAATCAGCCTGACTACGTCCACTGCAGGACAAAGGCCTCTCCCATGTTCCGCCAGATAACCCGGTCCTGTGCTTGCTGCTGCCAATATATACCCGCAAACTTCTTAATCTCATCTGCCCACCTAACCTTCTGACTACCCTAACCCGCTTCCCTTCTCTGGGAATCCAGTTAGTTACCATTAATGACCAGCGGTTATCCTTTCGACGCGCTACATGCCCGGCCCATGTCCATTTCCTCTTCTTTATTTCAACTATAATATCCTTAACCCTCGTTTGTCCCCTAATCCACTCTGCTCTCTTCTTGTCTCTTAATCATAATCATAATCATTACTTATAATCATATTTCGCTTATTGTCGTGATGATTGCTTTTACCCTAAATGTTTTTAGTAGAAATGAAAGATTTCTTTAAGATCTTTTTTTTACAAGTAGAAGTGTCATTCATTTTTTGTGCTTTTTAAAAGGACAGCAAACAACACTGAAGCCTAAAAATTTAATGAATTAAAACAAGCACACTTTTGCTATGCGCACATTCTGCCCCAAGAATTTGGCAAATTCTTGTTTAAGGAAGGTACAGGCGTTGTTGTTTCAGCTTGTTTTTAAGTTTTCACGTGTATGAGCATATTTGTGGTATTTTTATAGGTTGTAGTGCAATCTTGTTTTAAGTAACATCATGCAACATGAAAGTACCTATTCCTTTCTAACAAAGCCTTCTCAGGTAATCGTTATGCCTAAGAGTTTGATCACCTGAATTAGGGATAGCTTTTCTTGGGAGGCAGCACATACTCATGTTTCGTCACATTGTTAGGAACATGTTCTCACTACAATCTATGAAAATACCATGAATGTGTTTATGTAACACAGCTCACAAGACATGGAGGCCTATCATACAGAGAAGTGTAATCTTTGTGATAGTGGCTTGCATAGCCTTGTTGGACTGAAAAGTCGAATTGCTGAATGAATTCATGCTCTTTTGGAAGTACAGTACTCACGGATTGAAACAGGACACTCGGAGTGTGTCGCCGGTGGTACTTGTGCCGTGTGCGCATAGAACCAATGTGTTGCGTTTTCGTATAGAGCAATAGGGGGAAGACCTATGGAGCAGGACTACTCCTTTCGATTGCCAAATGGTCGTCCTGTAGTTCGCCACGTGTACACTGCCAGGGCAGCGCTGCAAGGCTCACGCACATTCGCATGTCGACCAAACTGGCTCGCAGCTGCGCACCACTTTTATTGCCATGCCGGCCGATGACCCTCTCGTTCTGCGTGCTTGGCCAATGCAGTACGCATGCTGTGCAAGTAAGATGCAGGATTCAGTAAGTAGACTGCGCCTTGTGTGCATTCGTAGACATGATAAACATCTGCACAAAAGCATAAAAAGTTTACTTCGTGGTTTCTCTCTCGACAAAAAAGAAAATGTGTAGCATGCTTTCCTTCATGCTTTCCTTCATGCAACATGGAAATAATGTCATGTATTAGTGCCGTTAGGGCAAACTGTGGCCTATTGTTGAATAAAAATGCGAGAAGCTCGCTCGTTCTTCTGTGGCCGACAGCTCTACAAATGCTTGCCACGCAGGATAGCCGTACTATTCATTGCTCGGGGCAAGACAACAAAGTACTAAGTCATTGTTTTGATGCTGCGTGGAAACAGGCCCATGGCTGGTGCTTTTTTTCGTCGTGATAAAAAGCTTGAAAAACTTCTTATGCTTTTGTGCAGTTATTTATCATGTCAACGAGCACATTTGAGGTGCGACATCTTAGCGGTATCCAATTTTTTACTTGTACAGCCTACGTACCCCATCGTCAAAGGGCACCGATCCAGAGCGTCGTCTGCTTGTGTCATAACATAAATGGTACGCACCGTCCGCATCGATTCGGGCTGCATGCATGCAAAAATGCGCGAGCCTTGCAGCGCCATGCTGGCAGTGTGCACTTTGTGAACTAAATGCCAACTCTTTAGCGACCGGAAGGAGTAAGCCTGCTCCGTAGCTGTTTTTGCCCTCACTCTATACAACAGTGCAACATCCTGGTTCCGCTAGCACCCATGAGCGGCGGCACATGCATTGGCGGCCACGCGCTACGAATGTCCTGTTTCACTCCGTGAGTACTGTACATATATGTTGACCATACTGGACATGTCGGTACATACTTGGGAGGAAACAGGAGTGCAAGCCAATACAAGGACTGCTCCATTCATTATTATTTTTGTTCGGCATCTTAGCTCATGATGCTTTTCACTCCTGAGTGTAAACTTTATTTCCTCGCTGAGCTCGTACATAGACTCTAAATTGGATTATCTCTTTGACGCGTGGGTTCAGGCGATATTTTTGTCATCTGCATGGTCTAAAATCATCATGAGTTCAACACTGTGATGTGATCTTTCCTTAAATACTTGATTAACGCAAGTGTCCGGTCGGGTTGGTAATTCATCAGCTAGAAACTTTTCTAAGGTACGGCAAAATATAAACAGAAAAAAGGGAGACGGCACAAAGTAGTGCTAGTTCCAGTTGCCGCCCTTTTGATTGTGCATGGTTTTCCTGCTGTTGAAATTTTTCTTTAAAAATAGTTCCTATCCTTGTCCTATCAAGACGTCCAGCAAGTGCTAACACCCCCCAGTGTGGATTTTTGTGCTTGGTAATGACCAGCGGTCAATTTCATAACTTGCAATAGTGGCTAGCGAGCATGGGCAATTGCGCACTCTAAGCATGGAGCTAAATGAAAATATTTCCTATTTTTATAAAACTTTGGTCACCTCTTCAAGGTACATAAATAATGTATTTTCAGCTATTGAATAATATGAAAAAGTAATCAAGGGTACAAAAATGTGTTGCTTGCTTCCTCCAATCTGTTGTTTGTATAAAGATGTGTAGAAACGACCTGTAACTTGTTACAACATGCATATCTGTGTAATATACTGTAGGTTACAAAAAGCACAATTTTTTAATTGTTTTCACTAGAGTTGTGTAGCCGTACTACCTAGACGTACCTCTACATTTCATGTGCCTGTTTGTTGCTCAATTTCACCTTGCACATAGGCGTGCGCATAGGAGTGGGGGGCAGCTCCGCTCTCTTCCAACTTGATACCTAAGACGGGGGCTTTAAAATTGGAAGCTTACTTAACTAAGTAAGGGGGAGTGCCTTGGTGAACCTCCCCGCCACCCAAGTGTAGGGAAACCCTGCACATGCCTATGACTTTGCACCTCTGAGCATGAGCCCTCAATATTTCTCAGTTAAAGAAGAGGGATTTTAACGTGGAAGTTTTGTGTAAAACAAAGTTGTGAAATAGACCCACTGTTGCACGCCTTAGTCATACATTGGGTGCCATTGGAATCGTGAAAGGAGGTTATTCTGCAATATTGCCTTATAGAAGCTGACTCAGCTGATTCCTTTGTTCATGATAGCTGGCTTCTCTCCAATTATTGATCAATCGGCAGCCCTTGGAACTGATGTATAGTGGTTAGTTTTTTTGTTGTTTTTTTGTAACGTAGCATGAAGTCAAGGCTATGTGGTTCGACATTAAATCCAGATAAATTATTTAATATAAGTGACTATTTAGAAAAGGCATAACTCATCAATTGCAATTTCTATTCATGTGCTGCGCTAAAATGTATGCTTCAGTCCCTTCTAAGTTTCTATGTTTTCTTTTGCAGGTTTTCAATACAGCAATGATGCCACCACGACGGTGCTACAAGAGACCCTATCATCAGTGCAAAGTAGAAAATTAAATACAAATGCAGTTCTTCCTGAAAATGTCTTATTTGGTGTTTCTTTGTTTGTTTGTTTGTAATTATAAAACAGCACTTTCGCAAGAATTGTACACAAGGACGAACTAGCTCCATTTATTGTCCTATCGGAACTGAATTGCTTGAAAATGTAATGCATGTTTCCAAATGCAGGCACTATATACTTGCAGCATTATTTATCGACCTCGAAAGATTCTGACATGTAAAAAACAATGATCTGTTCGTTGGTGGAAATGGTCTAGTGGTATTTCCTTTACAGTTCTGTAATGTGTGCACACTTTCATATGAATTGATTTATTGATATGTGGGGCTTAACGTCCCAAAACCACCATATAATTTCGAGAGACGCCGTAGTGGAGGCCTCTGCAAATTTTGACCACCTCGGGTTCTTAACGTGCACCCAAATCTGAGCACACGGGCCTACAACATTTCCGCCTCCATCGAAAATGCAGCCGCCGCAGCCGACTTTCATAATAATAATGAAGCGATTTAATGCTCTGCTTTTCAGCAAATGTTCTGTTGATGGCATAGGCCCTTAGTCTACAAGCGACGTTTGATGTCTACCTAATGCAGATGCTC